GCCCGGGGGCGGCGGGGCCGGTCTATATGGCGGCGGCTCTGTCGGGCCTGGCTGTCCGGCTGTCGCGCTCGGCCGCCGCCCGCTCCTATGGGGTCTTCTGCAAGGGGCTGACCCGCACGCTGCTCATCTTCTTCGACCTGGCCTGGCGGCTGCGCATCAACTTCCCCTACCTGTACATCGTGGCTTCCATGATGCTCAACGTCCGCCTGCAGGTGGGTGACCCGCGGGGCCTCCCGGGGATGCTGCGGGCGCCGCAGGCCGCTGCCCGGGGCGCCGAGCGAACGCCGGCCACGTCCGCGTGCAGATCCGCGGCGGGGGACCTGCTGACCCTAGAACGTCCCCCCTGCGTGCGGGTCCCTCGGGCAGCGGCGGGAGGGCTCGTGCCCACCGGGTGACACGGGGGCGATGGGCGTGCGGGGCCGGTCACTGATGGTCACGCCGGGCGCTGCGTAAGGTGATGCGCCCACGAGCTGTGAATTTGCAAAACTTTATTATTATTACTTTAATTATCTGGAAGGAGCAAATACCTGATGGTCCGCTGTCGTCAGATTGCAGCCTCGGACCGTCCGGGGGGCAGCCCCAGTGGGTCAGTCGGGGGCCTGGGAGTCGGAATCCGCTGTCAGACGATGGGTTTGGGGGCGACGGGTGCTTTTTCTCTCGTGGAAGGGAAAGGGGGTCGTTGGAGAAATCTTTGTCCCCAAATGGGGTCGTAGGAAGCCCAGGGCTGCCTTGTGTGGGTTTCCATGCTCTGTATTTTTTATTTTAATTTTTTTCTCCATGCACTGTATTTCTTTTTTCCTTCTCCTCCCCTCATGCACTGAATTTTTTAAAAGGTTTTTTTTTAACTATTTTGGGGTTTTATTTTAAAAAATTACCAGTTTTAATGAACATTTACAGAGATTTTGGATTTCCACACATTCATTGTTGCATTTTTGTCCCTGCTCACCCCTCCCCCCCAGTTCCCTCTTCTCTTTGAAAAGTAAAATTCCTTCATTGGTATATCATCCCCCCTCACCCCCGCACCCCTAGTAAACACCGCTATGCAGCCTTCATACTGGACTCTTGTATTTTAATGCGTCTAACAAGAATGTGTTTTTGGTCCTTTTGCAACCGTCCTCATGCCCAGGGCTGTGTTGTTTACCTAGGTGTGTTTAGGTAAAGAGGGGAAGACCCTCCAGGAGGTGGGTTGACACAGTGACAGCAGCAGTGGGCTCACGTGTGTCAGGGGTGGTGAGGAGGGCACAGCTGAGCTAGGGTTCACAGGGTCCTTACTGGACCCAGCAGCACCAAAGGACAACAGTCACCACCACCGTGTTGGCTCTGATGGGGCTGGGCCGGGTCTCTGCGCTCCTGGAGGTAACAGTCCAGCGACTCCTGGAGCTGCCTAGTCTGCAAAATGAGGAAGGTGTGCAGGGGAGCCCCCTACCCCAGCAGGTGCCAGCTTTTCCTTCCCCCACCCCTTGAGTTTGGTTAAGGAGCCCTGGTGGCACTGTGTACTGAGTATTAGTTTGCCAACCGAAAGGTCTTAGCTGCTGTGCAGGAGGACGATGAGGCTGTCTGCTTTTTGAAAGATTTTCAGCCTTAGGAACCGTAGCGGGCAGTTGTCCAGGGTCACCGTGCATCGGGCCTGACTCAGTGACAGCAGTTTTGGTTTGTTGGGGTTCAGGTACTTGTGAGCGTGATTTGCTCCACCGTTCAAGTTTTTGGTACCCAGCACTGGCCCCCAGGCCACACAATACCGTTGCCAGTGTGTGGAGGTTGTCTGAGGTGAACCCACACCTCTGTTTCCCGTTCCAGGTGGAGCCACCTTTGTGTGCACAAGGCAGTGCGGTGTCTGTGTGGGAGCCGGCTAAGGAGGTGCCTGTGAGTTGATTGTTGACCTGTGTCAGACTACAGCTTCTCCACTGGGTTCTCGATAGATGAAATCTCAGGGGCAGATCGCCAGGCCTTACTTCAGAGGTGCCGCTTTCAGTTAGTCCTTAAGCACTGCCCAGGGACTTGGTGGACAAACTGGAGGAGTAGAAAATGTAAGGCTTTCTTTCTTTTTAAAGTAATTGGTTTTCTTCATCTTGTTGGAAAAGATACACAATAGGACGTATAACAGAGAACACCCAGTTGTGTCTCAGGCAGGTGCAGGTGCTGGATGATGGGGACCGAGGTCGCCACCGTGGCTGTGTGGCTGGCCTGGGCAGGGCTCCTCATTTCCAAGGGACTGGAGACCTTGCTTTTCAGATTTAAAGAATTACTTGTGTGTGAAATGAAGCCTTGCCCTAGGGAGGACCCACTGGGGAACCCCTTCACCATTTACGCTCATCGTGTGCTCTTGTTCTAGGAAGTAACAGATTCTGTCACAGAGATCCTCCTGCTTGATGGTGGAAGTGACAGTGTGTCCTGTTAGCAGTCACCTTTCTCACATGCCCACTTCCTCTGTTAATGACCACCGCGCTAGCCCAGGGGAGCCCTGGTCGCGTAGTGAGTGGGTCGCTGGGCCGCTAGCCGATAGTTTGAATCGACTAGCCATCCAGGGAGAAAGATGAGCTGATAGAAGCTCAGTGGGCTTCCGTTGAGGCCCCAGCCTTGGGAACCCGGCCCTGCAGAATGGCCGTGAGCTGGAAACGGCTTTTCCCAGAACCCAGGCTTCTACGATCAGTGAAGAACCAAGGGCTCTTCCTAAACTGATGCTTGGGACCTCTAGTTTCTGAGCTGTTCGCAGGGCAGTGAGGTGATCGCTGGAAAGGCCACTCCGATACAGATTTCGGTCGTACGAGAATCGAGGCAGTGGGTGCAAACTCCCTAGTAGGGAAGGACTGACAGGGAAAGAGCGCTCTGGTGCAGACTCTGAAGAGGGGGTGATTGGGTCCCTGAGGGACGCGTGGCTGGGTGGCTTTGTGGGCGTGGTGGAGCACTGTTTGTTCTGGGTCCATCACCGAAGCCCAGCATTGTGTTCACCCTGCCTTATAGCGACCCTATAGTGCTGCTCACAGGGTTTCTTTTTTTAAATTTTTTTATTAAATTTTTTAAATGAACATTTACGGAGATTTTGGGTTTCCATTCATTCATTATTGCACTACTCCCTGTAGACGCGGACCGTCTCTTTTTTCCTGTGGAGCAGCACCTGGTGGATTTGAATCACCAACCTTTTGGTTAGTCGCCGACTGCTCTAACCTTGGTGCTACCAGGATTCCTGGTGCCGCAGCGCAGCTGCTGGGAATCCCAGGAGCCCAGGGCCTGAGGAACGGCGCTGACTGCTGTGATGTTGACACCGACGCGGTGGCTCCACGTGTCAGAGGAGAACTGTCTGCAGTGATTTCGGTGCTGAATTTTGGCAGGTAGATCGCCAGAGTCTGGGTGGACTTGACCTTTCAACCGTTAGGTCTCTTGAGGAGCAGAGAGTGCTTTTTTGCCAGTTTGGGGCAGTTGATGGAAAGAGTGCCCGAGGATGCCACTGTAATCTACCTTGGGGTGGGGCTTCTTGGGATCAGGTGTGGATCTGAGACCTGGTTGTGGCCTTGACCTAGTGCAGGAAGGAGCTCTTCCCAAGCTGAAGGGGTTGGGGTGGGAGTCTCTCCTGTATATAGGAGGTTGAAATCCCTTACAAGTTCCAGGGTGTTTGTTCACGGTTGGGAAATCTCAAGCTTACCTGATTTGAGGGTTTTGTTATTCCAGTCTTTGTGACAGGAAGTGCAGGAGGAAGTAGCATCTGAGTGTGGAGGAGGGCCCCAGCCCCCTGCCTCCTCTTCTCAGAACACTCCGTCCTCCTCCCCACTGCAGATCAGGCAGGAGTCTGTTTTGCAAGTGATGAGAAGTGAGAAGACCCCATTTCTCACTGGGTTTTTTTGCTGTTAGGTGTCACCGAGTAGGGACGAGATGACAGCGAAAGCCGGGCCAGATCCTGTGCCACCCTCAGTCGGCTGTGCTCAGCCCCGGTGCTGCAGTCCCAGAACGATGAGGCTGTGCACAAGCAGGAACCCGTGCCGATCGCTCCGGGTGTTGATAGCAAGATCCTGCCGAGAGCCCACAGCCAGCTAGCGAGTCCCACCGGCAGCCTTTCATGCTGTGTCCGTGGGAAGAATCAAGTGTCCTAGGCCCAGGTCACCTAGATTCGTGTAACTATGAAGAGAGAAAGCCCGAGAAAGGACAGTCCGAGAGGAGACGAGATGGTGAAGATCGATGACATTGACCGGCCAGACAATAGCCTTCGAGAAAGGACAGTCCGAGAGGAGACGAGATGGTGAAGATCGATGACATTGACCGGCCAGACAATAGCCTTGTGTTACCTGTGCGTGTCCGCCACCCTGCCCGGCATGGCTCAGGCCCGAGACCTTCCCTGGCTCACCTTTCTGCTCTCTCTCCTCATCACACGGCTGTTGTTATCTTCTCTGTCCAGATGACTTTGCGGATCCACAGTTTCATAGCTTTGGTGTCCACGTATCACTTGGTATAATCTGTATCATTCGTTTGCTCATTTGTTCAGAGCAGGCTAAAGGAGTTGAGGTGCAAGGGCCTGGCAAGCTGGAGACATTTCAAGTAGGGCATCTAGAGTGTCCTCCTTGAAGTGAGGGCATTGTCCAGGGAGCTGCCTGGCTGGGAAGATGACCTCGTTCTAGGCAGAGGGAACAGCCAGTGCAAAGGCCCTGGGACTGACGCCTGGCCAGGATCGATCGCGTAGGGGCAGCAGGAGGCTGGTGCTGGGGCAGAGTGTGGTCTCTTTGTGTAACAGACCGATTCCCAGTGGGATCAGAACCACAGGTATAGAGCCCATACTTGCAGTAACATCAATTTAGAACAACCAGGATCCTGTTCCCAGCGTGGATTGCTTTTCGAGGGACATTTTCTCTGATGCTTCATTTACATCGGGCTTTCGAGGGGAAATGACCTACCAAGAAAATGGTATAAAATCTGGGAAGCTTCACTGGCCCAGTGACCCATCTGTTCTGAGACTTGGGCAGCTGTTTACAGGTGTGTAGGGCTTTGACTGTGCTGTGATTTGTGGATACTGCACTGTTTTAAGAGAGAAGCTTTATCTAGGGGAGTGGGGTTCCACCTGGCCAGCCCGGCCCGGCCCTGCCCGCCCCTGCCCGCCCCATCTCTGCCAGGCGCCTTTACTTCTTCTTCATCTCCAGGGGCCTTGTCTTCCTCATCTCCTTGGCCAGCTCCCTAGTCAGCCTCCAGTACTCATTGAACTTGAGCTCTGAATCCTGGTTCACATCCAAGCTCTCCGTCTTCTCCTGTAGTGAGCCCACATCCTTGAGCAGGTTAGGCAACTGCTGAGTGACTCGTTCCTTAAACTCCTTGAGGCTCAGGCTGCCCTTCTTGGCCTCCTGCCCTGAGAAGGTGAAAAGGTGGTAAGCCTGTGTCAGGGGCCGTCTCCAGCTCAGTCGGTGGCTCTGCTGCC